TTTTGTCCGCCAACTCGGTTGGATATCGGACTTTACGCATTATCGCGCTATTGATATTAATGAATGTAACGAAGCTATGGCAAGTCGTTGCGTTTTTGCCATTTTACATTTTATTTCTAGTTTCCTCCGTTGGAAACTCTTATTGTGCCAAGATGCACTTGCATCCTGAATTTCATTAAGCTACGTTAACTTTTATTGGACACAAAGTCTTAAATTGCAATGAATCAAAATGGCCTTTTGCCATGTTATTATTAAACATAAAACAAGACTATTTATCGGAGAAAATCTCCTTTAATATGAATATTTAATTTTGGCCTTTGCCTGGTGCTGCCCTGGTCAGACGGTGGAAGTAAATGGAAAAAAAAATAAGACTTCCGTTTTCTTCTGATTTACTACAGGTTTTTGTCTCGCAAAATCAGATGTAGACGGAAGTAAATTATTAGTTCCTTCTACTTCCGACGAAGAGATGTGATCTTTTTCTAAATACTTCCCATTCATGGAAGTCAGTATTTTCCGATTTCTTCCGATCTATTACAGGTTTTTGTCTCGCAAAATCAGATGTAGACGGAAATAAATTATTAGTTCCTTCTACTTCCGACGAAGAGATGTGATCTTTTTCCGACTACTTCTCATTCATGCAAGTCAATATTTTCCCGTTTCTTCCGATCTACTACAGATTTTTGTCTCGCAAAATGAGATGTAGACGGAAGTAAATTGCAAGTTCCTTCTACTTCCTATCAATAAGGATAGGATCTTTTTTCGACTATCTGTGAATTATAGTAAAACTATTTCTTTTCTACTATATTATCTCATGCAATTATGAACTAATGTATAATTAAAATAACCTATATAAGAAATAATCTATATAAGATTAAATTCAAAATATCACAATTAATTTCGTATATTAATTACATCAAATTGCAAATATTACAGTTAATTCAAATTATCGTAGTACATTTTTAATTATTCTTATATTATAATTTTTAATGATTTTTATACGATTCAAATATTGTAATAAATTTTAAAATTGCTTTAAAAAATTGAAATAGATTTATAATATTTTCTTACATTTTTTTTTAATTCTGAGTGCAAGTGATATTGTTGCTAGTCTTTTTTATACGTATACTCTTACAGAACAATTCATAAATATAAATCTCAATAATTTGTAAAAACAAATTGTATAGATTAAAAAAGACATGAACTTATTTCAATAAAGATAAAAGATTTTAAGATGGCGTACGCAAAAGGAAAAACTTTTTCTTGATTGCTATAGCATCCTGAAAATATAGGTAACATCGTAATTTTCAACCAATTTAATTCCATTTTTCTCGCAATCTGTACGCGATAAGACATTTTAAGGGTATATTTAAATTGTCGAAAAATTATCTGAAAATAACATTTGACAAGTCAAAGATAAAAAAAGATAAATTTTTTTGGACCATGTCTATATGATCATTTTATTTAACTTATTTCTAAATAACTGCAGTGATAATCTTATCACTACAACTACATACAATTTATTGAAATTGCTAGACAGCAGAAGTCAATGGAAACAAATCGGAAATGAACTACTTTAGTTTACTTCCAATCGAAATTAGATTTGAAGTAGTTTATTTTCCATGCATTTCAATTACTTTCACTCTGACCATATAGGAAATGATCATGCAATATCTGAATCTTAATTTTCATTATCTTTGGCATTTTCGTCCTCTTTTTCACTAGATTCATTTTCTTCAATATTTTCTTCACTCTTTATAGTAATATCAGAATCTTTATTTATTTCTGCTCCAATGTAATCACTATCCTGATCACTATCTTTGATATTTTTGTCCTCATTTTTACTGTCTTCATTTATATTTTTTGCATTTTCTTCGCCGTTGTAATTATCCATTTCTGTATTTTCAGTATCCTGTTCTCTCGCCGTACTTGTTTGAATATTTTCGTCTACATCACTTACATCATCGGGATCACTTACTGTCATCATTTTTATTTTCTCTGATTCTGTAAAAATTATTTTTTTATTGTATCAAACGTGACTAGAATATTTTGCAATAACAGATAATTTTTTGAAATTTTTTTTACCTGAAGCCTTTTTATTTTTCCTTGTCATATCGTCAATTTTGTGACTCAGATAGGTACCTACAGAATTACATTGCAGGTCTATTACCGCCTCATCGTATTTTTTCTTGACCATCCAATTACGTAAAGTCACTGAAAAATAATATAATTTTAGATTGATTATCATTATTATTCATCGATACTTGATGTATTATTTACTTTTGATTGCGGATACACCCTTTCGATCTAATGGAGGACGGGGTTTTTCGCCGGATGCCTTCTTCTTGGCTGAAATTTTTCCCGTTACGCTACTATTCTGTAATGTTTCGGGCGTAAATACTGCCACAGCAAGACTTTTGACAAACACTGAAGCGCTTTTGCTTCCCTTAGCGATGTCGTCGTACGTATCCTTTCTTATCCAAATACCTTCGCCTAGATGAATCTGCACAAAAAAGTAATTTAATTCTTTTGCAATATTTCTAAACAGAAAAAATATCATCAATATTTACCTTGTTTTCAGCAGAACGCACAAACGCAACGGGAAGTTTTGAACCACTTGCCAATTTGCTTTCAATTTTTGATATCTCGCCTTTTTCTAAATTTTGTAAGCTAACTGAAAAAAACAGAAAAAATTTATTTGTTGAATAAAAATATTCCTATCAAAAGTTAGCCATCAATATCGCGAAGATTTATTTAATAACATTCACCTTTCCACTCGTCAAATTTATCCAATATCTCGGTTTGTAAACGATAGTTCATATCTTTTAACTTATCTCTTTCAATTTCTGAATTCTTCAAATTTGTCTGCAGTTTGTGATTCAGTTTTTCCAGTTTTGCTATTTTATTTTTCATAAATTCCATGTTGTTGGAATTTGAAATTAAATCAACAGAATATGTGAACTATTGATAAAAAATCATAATATTAATTTAGGTATACATATTGTTGATTTATATGTTCCCATGCTTACAGAGTATGCATGAAAATACTCACATTCTCCTTATCGAATTCAGAATTTTTTACAGTTTCATCTTTTTTCATTTTTTTACTTTTCCCTTCAACGGATTCAGAATCTTTTACAGATTCATCTTTTTGTGTTTTCTTACTATTCTCTTCAATCGATTTGTGTTGTCGTTTCATTGTATTTGACGTTTTAATTTCATGTTGCTAAAAGTGAAGACATAAACCTTTCTTAAGTCATGTTAAACGAAATCGAAGTTCTTTTAGTAGAAACTTTGGAAACTTTGAAAATATATAATTTCGTAGAAGATGGATGAAACATTCATATATAAATTCTAAATATTACTGAAATTATTGAAACGTGAGCATGTTTTGTTATATTTTTCATAACATCTATTTTCATAAGAGTTGTAACTTTCAAAAAAATGTAATAATGGAAATTTATTCAGAAATTACTATTACTTCATTAAAATTCGAGGGATGACGTTGATATTAACATGCAATTTTCATCAAACAATAATAGAGGTTACCGTTGTCTGCTGGTGACTCTGAAAGGTGTTCAAATGACACAACTTTTTAGACATATTTTTAGAAGTATCCCTGAGAAATTTTAAAGAAATTTGAAAAATGTTTCTTTATTTAAACAAAGTTATTAAAAATCATGCGATGTTGCAACTTTACAAATTTATAATTTTGTTTAAACAAATTCACATTTTTCAAATTTGTTTAGTATCAAATCTTTCAGAAATACTTTCGAGAGTACGTCAAAAAATGTTTCGCCGTTTGATCACCCTCCAAAGTCCACAACAAGCAACGAATCTATATATATTTCCTGCTGGGAAATGCCTGATGATGGCTTCAGCGTCATGTCTGTATGGCTAGCATAAAAATATACAAACTCTGACTATACATTGGATTCATTGCACAGGTTAAAAAAAAATTTTGTGAAAAAAATTATATTTTGAAAAACAATTATTGTTTCAACAAATTATGAGATTCAAGATATAAAAAATAAATTATAAAATTGGATTCTATGAGAATATCTACCAAAGAACCATGTCTAATTTTATTAGGCTCAACTGGTCTTTTATTATTGCAAAATAATTAACAATATAAACACTCGTGATACTCAGTTTTAACGTTACTGCCCAGTGTTAATGTAGTAGAAAAGTGTAATAGTTTATTTTAATTGTTTTCAAGAAAATTAGTCCAGTTAACCGTACCTATATTAGGATAATATAATTTAACATTTTCTAGGAGATTTTCTCGTAGGATCCAATGTCACCATGAATTGTTCCTAATTTTACGTTATCTCTCGAACTTTAAATTTTTTGTTATTTGTTTGAAGAATATTTGTTTCAAAATAAAGTTAATTTTTTTTCTACATAAAATTATCATTGTAATATATAAAATCAAAATAAATTGTTATTAAAATAACATTACATAACTATAGTTGTTGTAATAAAATTGCAGAGCTGAATAGTCAAAGCATTAATAAATAATTGACAATATAAAAGTGTAGACTTTACATCTATTATTTTTCTTGCTGTTCGTTTTTCTATGTACATAAAATGATTTGTTTAAATCTTACTAGATTTGACTGCTGCGCGTCTGTTAAACTTTTTAATTTCTTCTCAAGAATTTCACGTCCGAAGTTGGTACTACAAGAATCCTAAAAGTAATAATTATTATTGGTAATACATAAATTAACAATTGATGTATATCAACTAATTATATAATTATAATAAAATATGAAAACTAATCAACTAATTATATAATTATAATAAAATATGATAAACAACAAGTAGGAAAGAAATATTGTAATCTTCAAATATAATTTTATGATTTAGACAGAATTTGTTTTTATTTTCATATTTTGCACAATTCCGAGCTCCTGGAGAAAGAAACGGACACATATTGCAAAGTTTCTAAAACTCCGTTTGGAGACCTCGAATTTCTAAATGTTTAAAATATTATTCCACTGCACTATTTCGATAACAAATTTTACGGCGTACATATTTGGTTTATAATAAAATTCTATAATAAATCTAATAGTTAATAGTTTCTTTCTTTTGTTATGTAGACTTGAAATTTTTACACAATTATGTTCGTCAAAGCGTTGTGCAACCTCTAAAGCTTATTATAAATAGCTCTATAACAATATGAAAAAAGGATTTATAGATAATTGTTTATTTATTTTTATCTTATTGTTAGAATATGATTTTAATAACAATTATTTCTATATGTTATCCTGCAAAATTAGATGCACATATTGCTGCAACAGACGTAATTAAATTAACTTGCGTTTTAAAAATACAGATGATAATGTTTTACTCATGTAGAGACAAAAATAAACTTTATTTTCATTATTTAAAATTAATAAAAGATGAAAAATGAAAACAAGCAATAAAACATTAAAAAAAAACAATTTTTCTCTACATTTTCCATATTATTTGTATTGTTAAAATTTTGTAAAATATGTTTTACTACTATTATATAGTTTATTAATTTGCAGTTTACTGTTACATTTATCTTTTTTTGTTATACTTTAACGCTCTTTCTACTGTACATGTACTGTTTATATTTCAAATATTTCTAAATTATTTTTAGCTAATATTATTGCTCGACAATTCATCTATGGTTTTTCGGTCATATTTTATTTTTTATTTTAATATTGAATTGATTGAATACACTACCTTTTTGGTGATTTTTTTATTATCTTGCTTATTATCCTCTGTGGACGATATTGCATCACTGTCCGATGTTGCCTGCAGTAATTTTTTAGGACAGATTTTGGGTCTCCGTTGTTTTATAGTGTCTTCTAATTCTTCTCTTGTTTCTTAATGACAATATTACAAATTATATTATGTTTTTATAGTAATTATATATTCATATACATAATTACAAATTGTATTATGTTTTTTATAGTAATTATATATTCATATACATAAAAAATATATATATATATACATACCTTCCACAAAAATTAATGTTGCTTTGCACACATTTTTCCCGCATTTCACTTTGTGTACTTTTTTAAAATTTATATCATCTTTATCAAAGTTTATTATGTCTTTTACGGATACTATCACTTTTTCGTCATGATTCCGACATTTCTGATTGTATTTTACGTACGCGTACATTATATATGAAGAATATATGAATTTTAAGCACACTGATCAATATATCTGTGATTATTGCTGTCGCTAGCTCGAATAATGGCTGTGAAAATCAATGTGACCCACGAAAAGAGCAGTTGCCTGACACTGATATGGCGAAGACGAACAATTTTCTTCGGAAGAACAGTACAGCTAGCTGCTGCTTTATACTATCCTTTTTCCGTGCACGGTTCACGAGCCTCGCGAGTCTCGCAACAATTGCGACTCGCGCTCACGTGAGGCCCGGCCGGCCGGGTCAATCGCACGAGGCGCGTTCGGGCCGTCATTCCATCTTTGTTTTACGTACGTTCAATGAACGACAAAGATAAAGTGACAAAATAGTGCACTCGCCAAACGCAACCCGGCGACGCAACAGTGTTTTCTTCCACGCCTGCGTGATAAATTTTTGTCCTTTGTTCTGTGCGCTTGTTGTACATTCATGGGATAAATCGAGTGTCGCTAATTAATTTATGTACATCAGACTCTTATTAGATTATTAATACGTACCGGTCTCACTAAGTTAAAGCATAATTATTATAACAAACTACATATATCAGTATTGCTCTGCAGATTTGCATGTTTTCGCGCTTTTCATGAGCCTACTTGCTCACAATTGTGCAGTACAAGTCCCCAACTCTCAAATCTCGCCGGTAATAAAGGATCATTGAAATATTCAGAAAATTTTCTGATATATTGGTCGACACTATACAAATGACATTAATAGTAAGTATATATTGTGTATATATATATATAAAATTATATGCTTTAATGATCTGAAATTTGCAGAAAAATCCAGTTAAAGGATTATTATCAAGAACGAAATAAATAATCTAAATAAATTATCTAAAAAAATTACATAAGGGATTTTTTGTAATATATACTGAAACGTTAAGCAAAAATTGAAGTAATAATTAGATACAAGTCTTGAAAAATATACTTTTTTCAACATTATAATATTCCTTTCATTCTGTAAATATAAATAAATAAATAAATATAAATAAAATTCAAAAACAAATATTCGGCTAAGAATGCATGAAATATACATATATATGATCGATTTTTGGAAAGACCCTGGAATTTTATATTTATTATAATACTCAGGCGTCTTCTGTAAATTGATAGAGTTAATTCTCTTCGTTTTATAGTGTTTCTAATTTCATTATCTATTACTAAAACAGATGCCTGTAGTTTATAAATTACAAAAAATATCTGTTTCTGTGCTGTGTATAAGTGTACATTCATCAATAGTCTATAGAAAGTAAAAAAATTATTTTGTTAACGTTAAGTTCAGTTTTCATTTATATGTTAGTTTTTCCGCAGTCTCATATTGTACGTAGATGTAAGAAAATTAAGCTATATATTGTATTTAAACGAATTGAATATTTATGTTTTGTTATGATCTCCATATAAGGTATGCCTAAAATTTTTATTAATATACTCATCTTCAACCAGCAATATGATGTACGTACATCATAATTGTTGTGTATGCGAAACAATTTTTTTATTTATTTCAAAATTGGTCATATAAGTAAATTTCTGTAACATTTTTATTTGTCAATATTGGAACATATACACTGCTGGAATTAATAATTTATGTATTTTCTGCATACTTGCAAAGTAATCATATTAATCAAATAGCTACTTAAAAATAAATGTCTAATTATTTTTTTGGTATTTCAGATTAGTCAACACTGTTAATTAAAATGCAGAGTAATTCCAATATTTCCAAGAGGACTTATAAAATGTATTTGCATCCAAATTTTGAACCCAAGAATGTTCATCCCCGAACATTGCAACGATGGAAACGTTTAAAAAAAATACAACATGAAGAATATGCAGGTTAGCATATTACAGTGTTTTGGGTTAATTTAATTTTTTTACATTTTACAGTTAAAAACTATACTGTAAAGTTATAAACTATAAACCAAAACTTTTTGTCTGCAAATAACTAATTTCTCCATACAGATATTGTGTACTCATATGATATAAAAATATCTAATATATTGAAAATATATTTTATTTGTGTAGAATCAGAAAATAACATCGACGAACTTGACAATTGTATGCAGAACGTTGCAGAAGGTTCAAGTCGTTCAGCATCACCTGTATCGTATACAATAAATGAGCCCGATATAGAAGTGGAATCACCTTCGAAAATTGAAGAAACTACAGATTGGATCGAATCGTGTGACAAATCGGCAAAAAATCAACACGTAAATTTCATAAATCATTTATTTCAAGATGAAAATTATTTACCTAATCAGCATGAAGATCACAGTCATAGCAGAGATACGTCAATTTCTTCACTTTCATTCGATAATAATCAATCTATTGCAGATGCCAAAACCGAAACACATACAGCAACTCATTGCACGCAAATGAAACAATATGTGCAAAACAGTGATTCAATAATGTTTAATGAATCAAATTTGAAAACATCGGATGTATTGCTTATGGTTTTAGGATTTTCAATTCGATTCGGTTTGTCGTATAAAGCAAGACAAGCTTTAATACATATGATCAAAACGATGGCTGGTCCGGAGTTTAAGGATTGGACAATTAGCGAACATTTATTTTCCCGAGCATTTAATCCACCTGATAAAGCGAGGCAATATCATTTTTTTTGTGATTTATGTCAAAGATTACTTCACTCTGCAACGAAAAACGAATTGAAAAATAATGAAACATGTATATGTGAAAAATGTGAAACAACACATGCATTGAGTCTGAATTCTTCAAATTATTTTATATCGATTGATTTACATTATCAGTTACAAATTGTCTTGAACAATGAATTTTTAAGGCAAAATATTATACAATATAAACAAAATATTAAGCCAAATAATAAAAATATACATGATGTTCACGATGGATTGCTTTATAAAAGCTTAATTGAAAAAATTCCAGAAAATCGGGAAATTCTTACATGTACGTTTAATACTGATGGAGCCCCTATCTTTAATAATTCTAAACAAAGTTTGTGGCCAATTTTTATAATTATTAATGAACTTCCACCAAACTTACGAGGTAAATATCCATTATTAGCGGGCTTACTCATCACTACTAAAGAACCAAATTCTAAGATCATGAATTTATTCATGAAATCATTTGTAAGACAATGTGAAATACTCGGCGATTCAGGTATAAAATGGAAAAATGTAGCAGGCGAATCGTGGAATTTCATAATAAAACCTTTACTTAGTTGCGTCGATTCTGTTGCTCGACCTGTTTTACAAAATCGATTTCAATTCAATGGGTATTATGGTTGTTCATGGTGCTATTCACCAGGTAAATTCGAAGAAAATACAATGCGCTACCTATTACAAGAAAATGATCCTGAAATAAGAACACATACTACATATTTAAAAAATATGAAAGAGGCTATGATTTCCAACAGAACAATTAAAGGAGTAAAAGGTTTCTCCGTATTATCAAATTTGCCACATTTTGACATGATTTGGGGATTTCCTGTAGAATATATGCATGGAGTATTGTTAGGCGTAGTCAAACAATTATGGAAAATGTTGATCGACCATAAATGTCCCATACATCTCACTCCGCGCCAACAAAAAGAAGTAAATAAAAGACTACTTAATATAACACCACCTCACGAGATTCATCGTTCACCAAGAAGTTTGACAGGCCAAAAATGTAAGTGGAAGGCTTCAGAATGGCGCTCATGGATATTATTTTATTGTATACCTTGTTTAACTGGTATTTTGGACGATCAAGCAGTGCAACATATTGCATTGCTATCTAAAACCATATTTATCCTTCTGCAGACAAGCATTAGTGAGGCAGAATTAAGTGAGTGTGAGTATAACATGCTAAAATTTGTTGGATTATTTCAAGTAATGTACGGAGATAAATATGTCACATTCAATGTCCATTCGTTGCTGCATCTAGTACAATCTATTAGATTCAGTGGACCATTATGGACCACGTCAACATTTCCATTTGAAAATGGCAATTATATTTTGAAACAACAAATTCATTCGCCAAAGGGATTGTATGAACAAATCTCAAACCGATTCATTCAGAGAAATAATTTTTTATCCATGGTAGAAGAAATATCATCATCAAATACTTGTACAGACTATTGTCAGAGTATTTTTTTGAAGAATCGGACTGAAAAATTTTGTAGAAGTATGGATAATAAAGCAGTATTCTTGGGTACTGGAGTATATGACGATGACTGCATCAGATATGCCAAAGATGACCAGAGTGCCAGAACATTTGATAGATGCATATATAATAACATAATTTTTCATGGAACTGGATATGAACAACCGAAAAAAACAAACAACACAGTGATAATAACAAGACAAAAAAAATTTGCACAAATCTTAAAGTTTTTGTATACAAACACTGCTTCTTACGCTAAAGTAATATATTTACAAGTTGAGAATATACCAGAAATACCAGGACTACATATAATGGAATTGTTTAAAAAAACCAACATTGAATTGTTAAATATTAAAGATATTCTAGAAAAATGTATTTTAATTGATGTTAAATGTAAAACATATATCTCTAGATTGCCAAACACTATAGAAATACAATAATTATATAAATAATCATAAAAATTATACTATAAAAACTAAAATGTCATTTGTTTATTTTTAAAAAATTAAAATTTCCATTATTAAATTTAAAAAATTTTAAAAAGAATTTTGTAATTTAATATAAAATGTAATCAATAAAAGATATATATTTTACTTTGTCAATAGATAACAGATCTACGTATGTATTTACATTTGCAAATAAACATTATGCCAAAGCAAATAAGTAATTAATTTAAATTTATTTTAAATGTTGCAACATATTTCTTTCCAAAACTCATAAATAAAATCAGAAGTACTTACCTACGCTTGAAGGAAAATGATGAAATTGTAAATTCATAATGTAAAAATAAAAAAATTGTATGTAACATAATCATTTTAATATCAAACGTTTCACAAGTTGTATGAGTCAGTGGTTATGGGCCCCAAAAGAAAGGAAGCAATTCAGGGTCCGAAATGGCTGACGTATCCGGAAGTCAATGTTAGCGAAAATAAGTCGAATGTGAAAGGGAACAGTTCTGTGCCATTTAGGAGGAAGTACTTAAAAATCAATGTTAGCAGAAGTCGATCGGGTGAAGAAGGAAACAGTTGAAGGACTGCATTGGCTGACGTACACGGAAGTAAATTTTAGCGGAAGTAGGTCGGAAGTGAACGGAAATAGTGTAGGGTCCGAATCAATTGATGTATTCAAAATCGATGTTAACGGAAGTAGATTGGACGTGAAAGAAAATGGTTCTGTGCCGTTTAAGAGGAAGTACTTAGAAATCAATGTTAGCAGAAGTCGATCGGATGAAGAAGGAAACAATTGAAAAACCGCATTGGCTGACGTACATGGAAGTAACTTTTAGCGGAAGTAGGTCGGAAGTTAACGGAAATGATGTAGGGTCCGAATGGATTGATGTATTCGGAAATCGATGTTAACGGAAATAGGTCGGACGTGAAAGAAAATGGTTCTGTGCCGTTTAAGAGGAAGTACTTAGAAATCAATGTTAGCAGAAGTCGATCGGATGAAGAAGGAAACAGTTGAAGGACCGCATTGGCTGACGTACACGGAAGTAAATTTTAGCGGAAGTAGGTTGGAAGTAGCCAGAAATGGTGTAAAGTCCGGATGAGTTGATATTTCCGGAAGTAATTGTTAGCGGAAGTAGGTCAGAAGTTTATGGAAAAATTCTTATTCCAAAATACCGAAATGATCAGAATATCTTTATTAGCGGATGATAGATGGAAATAAATGGAAAAGGAACACATCTGTTATTTGGATGTTAGTAGAAGAAACAATATTTCGGAAGTGTTTCAGAAGATATTAGAAACATTCTACATCAACAAAATCTCTTTTTGGAAGTAGTCGGAATCGATTAGAAGCAAAATGAAATAGTTTATTTCATTTTTTTTTCCATTCACTTCCACCGTCTGACCAGGGTGTACGCTATGTGGCTTTACGCAGGCAAGTGACTCTGCGCAGGCAATTGACTCTACGCAGGTAAGTAACTTTTATTCTGTTATACTCTGAATGAATTTACTTTAATCTAATTATTCTTTTTTTAATTTATAGGAACGAAGAGGATTATTAAAGGTAAGTATAATATTTTCCCTTTATGTTATCTTATATAAAAGTAAGAACTATATATTATTTAACATTACAGCTATGTCATCGTCAAGGGGATAATAAGTATAAATATATTTTTTAGATCTCGCGTTATA